CCTTACCCAACTCATCTGTGATCAACAATTTTCCTTGGACAGAGTTCCGACACTGGTTATTCGGCTGGCTGCTGTTCCCCAGGCTAAAATGGACTTTCCAGGCAATGGGGCGGTCTTCGTCTTGACCTTGGGGGAAATTCCGATCCCGCAGCACTCGCTCTTCCTAAAGGCAAATATGAGACACGTGGAACATGAAAGGAGGTGTCTGACCTTGTTGTGGGGTAGAATCAGAGTCAATTGTCTTGTGTATTGTTTTAAAATCCCGTGCCAATGCCAGAATTCTTTGAGTGACACCTCTGAAGGCTCCTTGAAATAAATGCATTAAGCAGTTTATTAGTTTCTGGATGAAAGGTTGGCAAATGACTACCCCTAGTTAAAAGGTCAGGTGATATTGACCAGGGCATTGTTAAAGGTATATATATATTCCCCTTCCTTCTAATGCAACTTTCAGCCCAGTTACCTCCAAAGCGTCTGAGGGCAGGACAAGAAGCAATGGGTGGAAGCTGACTAAAGAAAGATCCAACTTGGAACTAAGGAGAAATGTCCTGTCAATAAGAACAAGTAATCAATGGAATGGCTTGCCTCCGGAGGTTGTGGGTGCTCCATCACTGGAGATTTTCAAGAAAAGATAGTTTGAAGTGGTAGAGGGTAGAGGCTAAAGCAGAACTAGAACTCACTGTCTCCTGGTGATTGGACTAAAGCCACCAAGCCGGCTTGCACGGCTAAAGCACAACTAGAACTCACCGTCTCCTGGTGACTGGACTAAAGCCACCCAGGTGGCTTGCATGGCTAAAACAGAACTAGAACTCACCATCTCCTGGTGACTGAACTAAAGCCACCCAGGCAGCTTGCACGGCTAAGGCAAAACTAGAACTCACCGTCTCCTGGTGACTGGACTAAAGCCACCCAGGCGGCTTGCACGGCTAAAGCAGAACTAGAACTCACCGTCTCCTGGTGACTGAACTAAAGCCACCCAGGCGGCTTGCACGGCTAAAGCACAACTAGAACTCACCGTCTCCTGGTGACTGAACTAAAGCCACCCAGGCGGCTTGCACGGCTAA